AGCAGGAATCGCCATGTTTCTACATGAATGAACATGGCTGAGTTGTCACAAAGCTGAATGGTGACTCAGTCTGTATTACAAAGGAAAGGAAGCTACTCTCTGATACCAGTGGCATGCAGAGCTGTGTCCAATTCTGTTAGCAAGCACAAGACAGAATTTCATTCCTCTTGTTTAAAGTGGCATCAGATGCATAGTGCACTGAGGTATGCGAGACCACAATAAAGACAGATATGTATTAGTGTAACACATACCACAGAGAGACGGCCAAAAACCTGTAAAATATTTCATAGTCTGAGACCATAAGGAGGGAAATCAGTGACTGGATCTTGCATAATGCCATGTGCATGTAAACAAACTGCACAAAGCATAGCTTGTTAAGTGTAGTTGCAGCATGTTGTAGGCCCTTAGTAACAGTCTTTTCATTGCATTCTCTTTTGTCAATGGATATGACTGAGAGAAATGTCTGGTATGCTGGCAGCAGCTGAAGTTTAGAGAAGCCCAGGAGAAACAGGGAGGAATCTGCTGGTCCTAGGCCGGGCTCTTTGGTCCAAGATTTAGAGAGACAAAATGTTTGGAAGAGTCTTAACATTGTCCTGTAAACAGTTAGTGCACATGCAGATTTTTGCTACAGGAAAAAAAAAAATCACTGTAAAACAAATGGTTTCCTTCTGTTCTTGGTTAGTCCAGTCATGATAATGTCATTGATTTACAGTCTGTCATTGCCTTTTTTCTGTCAGTAAAAAGGCTGCAGCTACAGTTTACACCTCCACCAAGAAAGTCAGTGTGTCTGCCTCAGAGAGAAGTGGCAGCTTAAAGGGTATTCATGCAGTCTCTGGCAGTGAAGACTGGGAACCCATGCCCGTCCTCACACCACACACAGCTCACAAGGTGCTTCCTGCTCCGTCTAAAACTGAATGTCCAGGAAATGCCATTAATGTAAGTTCAGTCTTCCTTCTATGTATCAGTGAGTGTGTGCCAGTGGCAGACCTGTTGTCCCTCAGCCTCTTTCATCTCTGTCCAGTGGGCCTGCTGCTCCTCACCAGTGCTGTTGAGGCCCAGGGAGACCCAACCCAGTCTCTCCCTGGGCCTTATGCTACTGTGGCGGCAGAACACGGACACCACCAGTGACACCTCAGACAGCTGGAAGAGCGCCACCTGGAACACAAATGTCTCCTTGTAGGTGGGGTTGGGCTGTCCTCGGCATACGGCCGTCTTACACTTGGACATCTCCTTCCCCTTGGAATCCAGCATGGTCAACTTAACATAGGTGTCTGAAAGGAGGCATAGGAGAGCGGTGAGTGAGTGCCATCAAATGGTGAGAACTCGCTACTGCAGGAGATGTTAACTACTGTGCAACTATGTTTTGAATTAAGTCCTCAAGAGCCATTATTATACTGGTTATTTTCCTCCTTGTGTTCTGATCAAACAATAACTTAAACCTCAGAACACAAGTTACAGAGCCTCCAAAGTCCTGAGTGCCATTAAGACACGATATATGTATATACAGAGATGGAGATCAACTATGTACATTTACTCAAGTACTGTATTTAAGAACGGTTTTGTGGCATCTGTACGGTAGTTTTATTTTCTGCTACTTTAACTTCACTACATTTAGAGAAAAATATTGTACTTTGTACTTACTACATTTATTTGATAACGTTAGTTACTTCTCAGAATGAGGTTAATAAAACAAAATACAGTATAATCATAAGATTTTTTTGTACTTAAGGAACATTTTGATTGCAAAACTTTTACTTGTAACAGAGTAATTTTAACTTGTAGTGTTGCTACCTAAGTAAACAATCTGAGTTCCACCACTGTATATATACAGTATGAGGACTTGGTGACCATGAATACAACCCAGGCTGTTAGGTAAAGTATCTGTTTCACATGTGGCCCTTACAGTTAATATACTGTACAGACAATTTAAATACTTTTTAACACTGGTTACTCAAAGGTTACAAGTAATCGACAGCCTTCTTACCTTTCATGATATACAGCTGCCCCCCCACGAAGTGTTTTATACAACAAAACAGACCGCCTGTGACACACACACCATAGCACATGCAAGTTTGAAAAGAAGAACGAGAGGAAGCAGTCAGAGTGAACACTTTAGAGACTGTGACACACCAGAAGCATTCATGGGAACTCATAAGCAATAGTTGCTTCAGCATTATGGCTTTAATTACTTGGGTTATTAAAATAATTGGTACTGTTGCAAGGAAACATTTAAATGTAATGGTGCACAATTTGTTTTTGTAAAATGTTGCTAGGAGTTTGGCCCATCTGCTTTGCCAGAACAACTGCCTGGTGTATCAGCACTCTTTGGGGAAGGAACATTACAAGGGAGATATTTACTGAACAGAAAATGTACATTATCACTCAGCACTTCATTCCAATCTGGCCATAAAACCAAGAAATAAACACTTTAACTTGGCAGCTGTTGCACTTACTGACAGGTTTATCCGACACTGCGGTTTTGAAGTGGCTTCCCTGGATGACCTCAGCAGATAACTGTCCTGTGGCTGAGTTGTAGATGAGACCCAGGAGAATCTCTGGCAAGGTCGAGTCTGCAGCGGAGCGGTAAGACAGAGCTCCTGCACTGCGAGACACACTCACCAGAGAGCTGCAACCCTGCGAGGCAAAGGAGAAAGAAAGCATCATGCATGGGATGTTTACATTATTTACAACTTTGATGAAGACACTCCAAAGGAAAATCAGGCCACCGAGTGGTGTGAAGAACTTCTTAGCCACGTTAACGACATGGCTCTAAAGATGGAGGTCGGTCAGTCCACTGTTTTGGTTCAGACAGAGAAATTTCAACTACTAATAGTTGAGGTGGGTTGGCTGGAATTTTGAACAGATATTCATGGTCTCTGGAGGATGATCCTATTGACTTTGGTGTGTTCTAGTGTAACAGCAAAGTGAACCGTCTCTCCATCAACTAGATAAACTTTTCATCTGGAACCATCATGAGATCAAACTAACATTCCCCTCAGCTCTACTTTGTGTTTAGTATTAATTTACAAATGTTTCATTTTATTAAACAGGGAAAATCCCACTGGGGTTAGAAACCTCTTTTCCAAGGGAGCCAAGAAAAACATCAGCATTTTTGGTTGAAAACAAGTTTGGTTTCAATGAGGCATTCTGACTTTCATCTAGAAGAAATGGACCACCAAATGACATAAAGGACTTTTTCTAGTGTATTCCTTGAGGAACTATAAAGCATGACTATGTCGCGTGACATTAAAGCTTCTGTTTTTAGTGTAATTATTGAGCTAACAGTACTTTCACAGCCTATTTAAAAATCTGTCAATCAGAGCTTCATGTACTGATCAATGACTGAAGTGTTGGATATTTTTGCTTGTCCTTATGCCACTCTCTAAAAAAATGTATTGATTACATTAGAAAATAATGAGATTGCTAATCTATAATGAATTTAATAATTGGTCACAGCCCTAGACTGACTGGCGATGACAAAAAGTGTGAGTAGGAGCAGATCTGCTGTTAAAATGTTCCTTGTCAATCCAACATCCCAATGCTTCAGTGCTTCAACAATGCACAGGGTTCTTACTGTAAGTTCAGAACCGGGCTCCAGAGTGACAGGTAGTGCGATCTTGCCCTGTAGATTGAGCTTAGTCAGGTAGAACACTTTTTCTCCGAGGACCTTCTCTTTCTTCATCCGTCTGATACTGTACAGGCGGAAGCGAACGGCATAGTCCCCCAGAGCCTCCTGTTCCACCCTGGAAAACTTGAATGTTTCTGTGAAGACAGGACATGGGCCCTTCTGCACCCCGGTCTTGGCCCGTTGCTTCTTAGTGGGCAGCAGGACCAGATGGACCTGCCATGAAATGTTGCCTGTCTGTTTGAGAGCAGGTATGTCTGTCGCCGCAGTGACTGTGACAGCCAACCACTGCTCAGTGGAGTCGTACTCGAAGGCGACGTCCAGCGTGCCGTATTTAGCAAGGGGCTCCGGTTCATAGGCTGTGAGAAGCTGAGGCCCAGAAACATCCTGTATGGAAGACAGAGAATTAGAGGAGCAGAAGAGGGACTGGGAAACTGTTGTAATTAACTATAAGTACAGTAGTCTACTCAAAGGACTCTCACACTGAACCTTAGCTGATCAGTTTTTACTAGTAGACTGGTTTAAACAAGTCCTAATAAATCCACATGTTGTTGTTTCTTGTTATAAGAAGATACTGTTCTGTTATCTAGAGTAAACTAAGCACGAAGTATGATTATTAAGTTGTTCATCATGATAATTCAGAACACAGGGCAGTAAAAATCTAAATAGACCATTATAGCAATGCGCCAAGTCTGTTATATGCTGCTTAAATGCATAAGAAACTCTGATTTCACCTCTGGTCCCAGAACAGCGGTGCTGTCACTGGGTATATCCTCTTCACAGTTTTTGTTGAGGTAGCTCTCGGTGTCCTGGTCCACACTGGCCTCACTGGAGCAGCGGGGGCTGGGGGGACAGTGCTGGGGGGACGGCCCCCTCCTAACAGCTTGCTCTGGATGGGAATGAGAGCCCTTGTCCTGGTACGGAGGAGGCTGGAGCTCAACGAGGGATGAATCTGCCTTCATCCTCTGAATGCTGCTGGCTGCTTTCATGACAGTTTCAGAGAGGGACACAGATGGAGCAGTGTGATATAGAAGGAGCATTACTGGAAATGTACTGTGTTCTGCAGAGATACTATGTATGCAATATAGTCAAGTTCACCTTGTAAACTATTGCTTCTACCTTGGCTACAACACTCCTGTAACTTGTCCTGTTTAAATAAAATGACAACATGAACATATTATCTGTGTATACCCTCGTCTCCTTCACTGGAGGCCTCGCTGCTGTATCCTTCCTGCTCAGTGGAATGTTTGCGCTTGCTGCTCCACACAGTAGCTGTGTTCTGTTGAACTGCAGGGTTGGGGCCTCTGTCCTCCTCACTGTCTGATAAAACTCCCCCTGGACAGAAAAGACAGCCACTGTAGGTCAAACGCTACATTTATCTCACAAACGATAATACGTGCAAGGTTTTAAAGTAGCAAGTAAGACAAGAGCTGAGACGCAGAAGCTGAAACTTTTTGTAGGACACTGCAGAAAGGTAAAAAGTTAAGCTGGAATTTGAAAGTGAGAGAGGAATAGAAGATCCAAACAGTGGTGGTAAAAGGAAGCAGCCCTCCCTCTAACCTTGGTTGCTTTTCATTTTCTTCTTGCTTTTCTTGTCCTTTTTCTTCTCCACGTCTGAACTGTTTTCTGCTTTTGTCGAATCCTCTTTTGCGCCTTTCCCCTTCTTCTTGGCTGTTTTTTTCTTTTTTACTGTTGAAGAATATCCAGAAAGGTCATCCACCTCCTCATCTCCCTCAGTCTCTTCTATCACGTCGCAGCCATTAGATTCATGTTGAGTAGCAGACTGGTGTCCACCGTCACTTCTGTCTTGTCCACTGTCAGCTGTTTTCTCTAAAGCACCAGCTTCTTCATTTTGGTCTCCTGCTTTGTTTTCCTTTGACTTGACTTCTTTCTCAAGCTGCTTTGCCCTCCTTTCTTTCCTCCTCTGCTCTCTCTTCTCCTGCAGCTCCTTCTCCTCCTTCTTCCTCTTCTCTTCCTCTGCTAACTCAGCTTCTGTCTTTTTAACTCGCCAGCACCCGTCCCTCCATTCCCACTCAAGCTGGCTCTGAGCGCACACTCCTGAATTGCTGGTTTGGTTGTGCTTTGAAAGTGTGTGACTCGTCTCTGAGTCTCTAGACATCTTCCATATGCTTTTACTGCTGGCCTTGCCTTCCTGTGCTGAGGAAGTCTGACCAGCCTCCTGACCGCTGCCGTTGTTTCCCCCCTCTTCCTCATCTTGCACCTTGTTGATGATAGTGGTGACCTGCTCAGTCAGCTGGTCGCTGACAGCGTAAGTGGCGTTGCTGACGGTGGTGGCCAGGTCGTCCACGTGACTGGTGACTGTGTTCAAGATGGAGGAAATGTTGACAGATGGCAGGTTCTGCTGGAAGCTCTTGAAGAAGGCCATCTCTCAGCCGGGGATCTCGTCACCACGCTGACCACTAGATTAGCTCATTGGAGGCACTGACATGGACATGTGGTGGTTAGCAGGACATGGTTCCAGCATCACAGTGTATGCTCAGACCAACACTTACACCCACACCGGCATGGCTATGGTAAGGATTATAATACATTTTGCAACAGAAGGCTTCCTATTGTGTTTAGTTGTTTGTTTCCTGTAGTGTCAGGCTCAAATATTGTCAAATATTGTAGTACAGGTGCAGAAAGCACTCATACGCACTTTAAAGGATACTTCCAGTTTATTACAAGTACTGCCTTTTTTTAATCATAATTTCTATGGGTTATCATTGTAATGTTGTCTGTCGTACTAGTAGCCTAGCCCATTTTGACTTAAATAGTCAACTAGTAAGGTACAAAATGCTCACTAGTTGAACTAGTAAAAGCCATAATAGTCTCTAGTTCACTAGTTGTGTGTCGTGTGAAAATGCAGCTACTGTGATAGAGTAAATATACAAGTGTGTGCAGTACCTGGCTGGGTGTGCGTATAGCCACTGAGACGTGACAGATCGTCAGAACTCCCCACTGACAGCTTGTTGCTGAGGTAAAGAAAAAACAGAGCCATCAACGCCATGAAGGCTGCAACGGAAGACAGAACACCCAGAAGCTCAGGAGAGACTGAGGAGAAGAAGAACAGAAATAAACAGGGAGAGAAGCATTAGACACAGACAAACATGCTGTAAGTAACGCTATTTATGGAGCTATGTAACAGTTACAAAACCAACCAAACCAGTCTTTTATTTTTAAGAGGAAAATGTCACCATGGCTAAAAATAAAAAGAAACACTGATGCCTATAAGCAGAAAACAAAACAAAACAATTTTAACCAAAAACTTAAACACTTTTAATGCAAACAAACTTTGATATCACATAATTCTGATGCATATTTTCAGACTCTTCAGACGGTGCTTTGTCAGAGGAGCATTAGCTATTGTAGTTTTTCACGGTCAGTGGTTTTTCCACTTCAAAGGCAGATACAATCTACAACGCTGTATGTAGGCCAACCATACCTCATGTAACCACGCAGCCTTGTGCTGCTGATGTGCTATTTTTATGAGAACCTCAAAGGGACTGAAACGTAGACTCAGTAAATCCACCAAAACATGCACTGGGTCTGCACTTAAATAGTACACACAACACAGACACACCACAATGTAATAGCTGAAGAAAAGAGGAAGTTATGGACAATGAAGCATGAACTGTATTTCTAAAGACCTCAGTGGAAAAGTGCAGCTGGTAAAGTAAAGCAAAGCACACTGCAGCGCATGATGAAAATACATAATACAATTTTTGATACCTATATTCAACAATTAATTCCTTAGTCTTTGTCTTCTTCATCAAGGCTTTGCACATCCATACAAGGTCAAACTTTGGTTTTTGTGTTGAGCTGGTGTCATGGGGTGTGTTTTTTTTTTTTTTCACCTTTCTAAAACCAAAAACTCAAGAATGTAAAAATGTCCAGCTAACTACCTACCACAGTACCTGGGTGTTAGGCTGTTAAGGAGGGTCAAGGGTTTTTAATCTCAACATGGTTTTCCTGGTTAAATAAAGGTTAAATGAACACAAATAAAACAGAATTGATTAGTCAATAGACAAAATTAAATCAATTATCATTGATTCAAGGCATTTTTTCAAGCAAAAATACCAAACATTCCCAACATGTAGCTTCTGAAACGTGAGGATTTCTTGTCTTTCTTGGATTTGACACTTAACTGGGGGCATCAACTTCAATTTTGGAAAATGCAAACATAATTTTTCAAAATGATCTGACACTTTATAGATCAAAAAAATAAAATATTCAGCAAAGTAATGAACAATGAAAGCTATCTGCAACCCTATAAAAAAAAACAAAGAAATAAAATGGTGGTGCACTCTGGGCCAATGTGCCTGGCGAAGCAGACACAGCTCGAACGTTGCAGCGTGTGCTTGGCATCAGGTGCTCACATCCAAAGCTCTCATCATCACCAGTCGCTGGTTAAATTGGTCAACAATGCTGGTATTTCCCTGAGAGCACAAATGAGAGAGGAACAGAGGAAAAATAGAGGTACCCTTTCTCAGACCTCCTCACTGCAGACTGAACTTATTATGGACAGACTTGTTTCACCATGGCAACAGGCAGCGACCACTGCAGCCTGACAACTAGTGCTGCCAAAATGATGGATGCTAAATTCCCGAGATTGGCAAGAGAAGCAGGAGAGAGATAAGAGAGCGACGGCAGCAGAGCTTACCTTCTCTAAATGAATATCCTCTTTAAAGCCAGCTTTCCTCAAAAAACAAAAAATATTACTAGTGCTTCTGCAGCTATAAATAGTAAATGATCTAAGAAGAGGGGAAAAACAAAGTTGCCATGCCTCTGAAGTAATCCAACAACATGTAATAAATGCTTTAGTCTGATCCAGCACTTGCCAGGCTTATGTATCAACTCTCACTGCTGACAGTTGTGTTGACTGAGTCAGAATGACCTGTGCAGCTGAAGCACAGAAACCGCCTGTCAGAAATGAACAGCTTATAGCCCTGTGACCCACGGTGTGATGATGCCTCATACATGGCCCTGCTCTGTAAATGTCAACCCCAGCTGAATAATTTAGACACCTGAGGTAACCTGAGCCCACCGTCAATGTACACTAGTGGTAGCGATCCAGTGTTTGTGAGAGCTCTCACCGCTATCGGTTATTTCCTACATAATCCCCATCATTCTCAGGAAAGTCTGATATTTCCTTTAACAGCAATGCATATAAAAGTGGATTTTTGTCCTTTTCTGACTTTCCTCCATCTCTTTCACTGCCTTTTAACTTTTCTCTTTCAACAAATCCCATCAAATGTCTGAGCAGAATAAACAAGAAATATAACCAAATAAATCTGTCTTTTACAGTGTGAACTGAAGCTGAACTCGGGACTTTGAAATGAGCCTCAGGATTCAGTCTGCTTGTTTCTCCCCGGGTAATGACTCCAGCAAGCTCACTAACAAACATGAAAACACAGCCACCGAAGCATTCGCTGTGAAAACGACAAATGAATAATAACCTCAGAGAAACGCAAGCTCATTTCGACAAAATGTTTATGTCAAATAAATACAAGGGGAACAAATTATTCTGTCATGTTTTCACATAAAAGGGACACAGACAAACTGTGTCAGAATTCCTCACCAGGAACTAAACACTGAATGGAACTCTGCTTGTTTAAAAAGTAGGTATGCAATCTAGAAATGTTGCTTACACACGGAGCTAGGATAAGGCACAAAGCCTCCACTCTGAATAAATCATGAACACACAGCTGCTGTCTTGTGCTGAAGTGAACTAAAACTTGATATGCCATACATAATTCACAAACAGGCATTATGCTTTCTGAGGTCTATGTAGAGAAGCTTTCCATACATCAGTGAAGATTTACAGGGAAGAGGGAGGTGGAGAGCCAAATATTTGGATGTAGAAATTTTATTTTAAACTGAAGTACAGCCAAGTAAGTGGTTATGCAGCCCACATGCACAAGCCAAAAAGAAACAAACACGCTCAAAAATGTGTTCTCGTGCTAATATAGACTTGACGCAAGTGCGAGGACGTGCTCGGCTGTGATGTGGCCTTACCGCGTCTGGCACAGATGAGTTCATGAACACCACAGTTCCTACCCCCTCCTGGGAGAAAGAGAGTCAAAAAGTTTGGAGTCATAGGTTAAAATATAATTAACATATGCCCAGGCCTCAGGTTAGAAGAGCTGGCAGATGGTCTACACAAGAGTAAACATCACTGACCATAGCTAACCAGCTCTATAGTAGCTGTTTAAATATAAAATACATTTCTCAACAATGAAGGTCTAACTACTGTTTCTCTTGTATGAATAAAGTTCTGGTAAAAAAAAAAAACATTAGATCTCTTTATCTGTGTATTTACTGTCCTAAAGGTAGTGGAAATTAATTTTAAAGAGTCTAAAAAAATCTCAGTTTAATCCCTCTGAGGCTTAAATTAATGAAGGATGCTGACACTCATATTCACAGACCCACAGGCTTATGCCCTTAGACACATACATTCACACATTGCCTATCTTGGCTCACTATGTCACTATTTAATGATTTGGATGTCTGCAGTGAGAGTGCAGCAGGAGCAGATCTGAATCGATCTAATGAGGAGGAATGTTGGAAGAGATTAAAGATGGTGGAAATGCCTTTGCAGATTTTCTAACCTGACACAAAGTGTCTGTGTGTTGTCAAATTAGTGAAGGGGTTTTCTTAAGCTGTAGTGTGTCGAACCCTCAGGGCCAATTAATTAATATATTATATTATTATAATGAATTAATTATGAGTAGGTCCCTCTTTGCAATAATAGTAAGAGCAGACCGTGGAGTAACATGAAGAATCTAATTAGATCAGTGAACTACGTGTCCATCTATGCCAGGTACCACTGGTGACCATAGGGAGGCGCTGTCGACACGTCTTCGTGAAGCCGTCCCGTCCCGTATGTCAACACCACTGCATGCATGTCTGCACGTGACACAACAACGGTGTCTGTAACTGGACCTGGCGAGACGCGCGCCCACACTTCACTGACTTCACAGACTACGTCCTTTTGTTGGGCCTGTGCGCCCCGTTTACTTTCACTAGATCCGTTGAGAGACGTGTGTCTGTCTGCATGTACACTAATTATGCTGGCAGTACACATCACTCGTGATTATTTGGGGGAATATTGGCAGCAATCATGAAATACCAGTTGCGGGGTGGTTTTCGAGCTCATGTCGTTATTTCTGATATAGAATTACAACATATTCATCCGCCGAGTGATGTAGTTCTCTAACAGTAGCAAAGCGGTGAGCGGTAGCTGACTGTTGCTGCTGAGATTTTCGGTTAAAGCCTTGAATTATTTAAATTAATCGCTATACTGTCCTATATGTCAAAACCAATTATTTTTAAAACTTGACACGGTCAACCAAAGCACCACCTTCTGTGTCTTGTCCACTTCCATCACTTTTCACGCCCCCCCTGCATCAGTGCGGGTGTCCACACTTGAGCATCACCAGCCCCTTGAAGCTAGTTAGCTGCTGTCCCAGCTCCGGAGCACTGCGGTACTCGCGGAGTAATTTTAACTGACATTGGACTTAAAGGAGAAAAATGGTCGCTCCGGTGAATAGCAAATGTGATTTTCTCACAGCTTTCTCAATCTGTCCCGAGCAAAGTTTCACACGAGTCCGGAAGGACACCTGCGACCGAATACTTACCGTCAATCGCCATGATGCTCTGCCCCGGTCCCCGGACTCTGCCAAGCGTGTGTGTGTCTGTTGGGGCGGGGGCGGTGTGTGTGAGAGGGTTTGTGCATTATATTTTAATTACAACGGCTCAGTAGGATATTCATGTTAAGTACGCGGTGTTTAAAATGTAGCCTATGTTCAATTAAATTAATAATAGTTAAAGTTACAAGTGCACATTTTCCTACATTTAGCCACAAGAGCATTAGTGAGGTCAGGCACTGATGGTGGGCGAGACAGATTAGGAAACAATGGGCATACTGTAGCTGGGCAAGTAGGCACGTAGGCTACATTGTCCCCCACCCCAAGGCCTCCAGACTAAAATAAAAAACAACACAAAACAACTATAAAGAATGGCGCATGAGTCATTTGATAAGAACTAAGTCCAAATAAAGAAAGAGAGCCCCAAATTAAAAGTACACTTCTACTGTATGTGCAAGGATGTTATGGCCGTAGGTCCCCGTCTTCTTACGTCACTGAAAGAAGACACGCCCACGGGCATTTCCTTACTACACTTCCGCAAAGTATAGTCCACACATCTGTTGTACCGTGTTCGGGGCTTGAGTAGGTAATGCGACATAACAGAAGGTGGTAAAAAATGAGCGAAATAAAAGACAGTTCTGCTAAAGCTGAGGAAAGCAGAACGGAAAAAGACTGGAAGGAGGCCAAAGCTGCTTTTGATAACCTCAAGTCAACCAAACCGAGACCTGTAAGTATTTTGCTACGAAGTTTATAAGCATATTACTTTACAGATAATTATGGGATTCATTAGTGCCAAACAATCATAGTTAACGGTTTTCCTCGTACCTTTTTCATTCCCTCCCAGCCCAAACCCCAGAATGCCGTAACTATCGCCGTCTCCTCTCGCACCCTCTTCAGCATGGTGTGGGAGAGGAAGGTCTTTAAGGAAGAAGGTGTAGAGAAGTACGTGGCTCATCATATGGACCATGAAGATGAGCCGCTCAAACCAGGAGCTGCTTTTCCATTTGTGAAGGTACAGGGGGGCCTGTGCACCTCAAGCTGCTTCCAGTCACTGTTTGCAGGGCGTGGTTCCCGGAAGTATTCAGTTATTGAGTTGCAGTCCATACCAGGAAAAACTTGGAGGTCACTATCTATGTTTGTTGGGCTGCACATTTCCTGTGCTGAGATTGCATGGCACACCCGAGTAAGCAATGCAGAAGAGGAATTTGCATTTTGGCACTGACAGCTCCGGTACAGTCAGGAGACTTTTTACAGGAAGTCATGCCATTCTCTGCATTTAAAGACAAACCATTCCATACTCTATCCTCATACCAAATAGGCCCTATGGTACCAGGACAAAATAGGGGAAGTTCAAAAACTTGATGTTAAAGCTCCTCTTACCCCTCAGAATTTGCTCACTTCTTGTAATGCTTTCAAACATGTCCTGAGATTCAGCAAGAAAATCCATCATTTTTGAAGGACAAAACAAGTGGAAAACCACTGTACAGCTTCTCGTGAAGCTTGTTTGATATTTACAGTCAGTGGTTGTGCATGCCTAATGTGCATAAGACTAACCTTGAATGCTTTAACCAACTTGCTCATGCACACTCTCTCCATTGAATAAAGGATGATCACAGCAAGAGTAACCTCGCCCTGTTTCTGGGCAGTTGTACAACTACTCAGTGACTCAGTGAAGAGATATGTTAGAGACCTGCTACACATTGTGGGTTTAAGGCTTTCATTAAATGCAAATCAGCCTGGATGTAGGGTATCCGTTGAACAGTGACTCAGTGGAGCATGTTAATTATTTCCATTGAATACTTTTTAGATTTGGTAATTGCAGTAATTTTACTACATGTAGGCCAGGATCTTTTTTCCAAAGCTACAGAAAATGATTTTTGTGTTTTAGTGTCACCCCATGGTGAGAAACGATGTCATTTTAAACAGGGACTTATTATGTTTTTGCAAGAATGTGAAGATACTCAGCATTTAACATGATGCCCAATGTTCAGTATTTTGCCAAGTATGTTTATTAGCAAAATTTAATACCTCAGTAACTATATGAAATAGAATGTATGCTGGTTTTCCATTACTGAGCAAATACACAGTGCAGCTCAAAGGAACCATGTCTGTTTTCATGCATGTGATTATGTCAGCCAGTATTTGATGTCATGGTATAACCTGACAGATTTGAGGGATGTATCAGCGATTGAGTTGCAGTGGCTTCACTTCTGTGAGTTGTCATGACGTCCACATTTGATACAGTCAATGGGGGAAAACCAGGTCATGGTTTAACTGTTTCTGTACTTATATAATTTTTGTTCTGTAGTGTTGTTATTGATGGGCCAACATGCGCACCAATACCAGTATATTATCTGTGACAAGCCAGGCTATTATCAGTCAGCCCAACTTATCGGTCTGGATGTGGTCAGCAGTGTAGTGCACACAAAAAATGTACAGAAACCCAGATGAAGGCCTGTGTGATTTTAAAAAACACTTTCCTTTCTTTCAGTGCTGGGTTTTAATACCATCATTTTAAAATGTGTGACCCAAGTAAAAGAAAGGTGTGGTTAAAATGTTATATGTATTGTAACCTCATGTTTAACACTTTGACACATTACCTTTTCTTTTGGTGTAAAGCAGTCTGTCCTCTCTCACAGGCGCTGATGAACGTCAACTCTCGACTGAGGGAGCTCTACCCAGACAGCGAGGAGCTGTTTGACATCGTCTTGATGACTAACAACCATGCCCAAGTTGGAGTGCGCCTCATAAACAGCATTAATCACTATGGTACGCTGCATCCCGCTGCAGCAGCAGACATCATCAGGAAGTGCACTTAATGCAGTAATTACATGCTAGAATGGGATTTCTTCTTCACATTTCTCCAACTTGATTTTATTCTTTCAGATCTGGCCATAGAGAGATTCTGTATGACAGGAGGGCAAAGTCCTATAGGCTACCTGAAGGCCTACATGACAAATCTTTACCTCTCCACAGACTCAAAGAAAGTCAAGGAGGCCATAGAGGAAGGTAAGCTAATGCTGCTGTCAGATAAAAATTCACATCACACATTTGTTGTCTAACAGCTGTAAATGCCCAGATACCTGATGTATTTAATTAATTAGTGGATTTATACAGTTGACAACAAGTTTTATACATCATAGTACTGTGTCTGGGTTTGGACGTTTTAGATAAAATATGAAGATGTCACCTTGTGCTCCGGGAACCAGTGAATAAGTACAAGAGTAATACATTGATATAAAAAACCCATACAGATTAATTAATAATGAAAATCTTTATATAATCATTAGTTTCTACTCGTATGTTTGTTGATAAAATGTAAAAGTCAGTGTTCCAACTACCAGTGAATCCTAACCAACATGTAAGCACCACACACAAATCCTTTCAGTAGCTGTTGAGAAGTTTCACTGGAAGACAAATCTTTCATTAAAGTGGTGCCCCGGTTCCCTACAGCCATGCCACAAAATGGCTAATAATTAATATATTGTAATTGGTATTGTGCCTGACACATTGTGATGTATACACTGTCCACTTGATCATCAGGAATTGCTGCAGCCACAATGTTTCTGCCAGAAAAAGAGATTGCGTTGAGCGATACTCAACTGAAAGTGGCATTCGATGGTGACGCCGTCCTCTTCTCAGATGAGTCTGAGATCATTGTGAAGCAACACGGCCTGGACGCTTTGTTTGAGCATGAGAAGCAGTTTGAGAACAAACCTCTCGCACAGGTAACACATGGCTGTTTTTTTTTTTATGTGCTCTATAACGGACACCTCATGAAGAAAGAAGAAACATTAGGAATATGAGGTCATGGTTCATTTTAAACCGATAACAGACATAAAACAGATGTGACAGGACAGGTGAAGTAGTCACAGCCTCTTACATGGATCAGCCTTCACATTTAAACCAAAAACTAATAAATAAAACACAATTTAGCAAAATGGAATGAAAATAAGTAACAGTAAACACATAAACTGAACAGAAGAGTACAGACAAACACACCTACATTAGCTATTAAGGAAACCATACTGCATGTGCCATCAGGCTCTGCAGGGATGAGGAACCTGCTTTGCTACTTCCTAAATCAAACTTGAATCAGCTCGGGTAACCTTTTCCACCTTGTGTGTGTAGTTTTTTTTACACTCCTCATTTTATCTCAGTCATGAATCCAAAAGTAATTGTATAATTACACGGTTAGAGAAAGGTGCTGCATTCAACGTTCACATCAATCTGATGAAAAGAAGTTTATAAAGGAGAGTGGCAGATGGAGCAATAATTAAAAATAATAAACACATGCATATACAAAGTATTTCTGTGTTCTTACACGAATGAGGTAATGATTTGATTTATATTGGTCGGTCACAGATCAATCACCAACTCTGTGTACTTCCCTCTGTTGCTCGTCTTTGTGTTTCTTATTTCCTGTTTTCACACCTTTTGTCTCTGTCTCTTTCAGGGTCCCTTAAAGTGTTTTCTGGAGGCTCTGGGGAAGCTCCAGAGAAAATTCTACGCCAAGAACGAGCGTTTGAACTGTCCCATCCGAACCTACCTGGTCACAGCCCGCAGTGCTGCCAGCTCAGGAGCTCGTGTCCTGAAGACACTCCGCAGCTGGGGCCTGGAGATTGACGAGGCTCTGTTCCTGGCCGGGGCTCCCAAAGGGCCCCTGCTGTTGAAAATTAGGCCACACATCTTCTTTGATGACCAGATGTTCCACATTGAGGGGGCCAAGGAAATGGGGACCATATCCGCACATGTCCCCTATGGGATTGGGCAGAAATACAACAAAAGTAAACTCATCGAGCAGCCTGAGCAGCCAGCGAAAAAGGAATCACCTAAAAAAATATAATAGCATTTCCTGGAGGATTTAGATTGTTGATTGGCAAGACAGTCAACAAGGTTTCTTACTGTTGGGATTTTATAAAGTGCTTTTTTTAAATTTCCTTTATTAATAAGTGGGAAAGTGTTTGTTTAAAGCAAGAGCTACAGTAGGTGCTATACACTTTTACTTTTAATGCTGTATTGAAAGAGATGTACCAGATTCATTACCTGTTGTGCCTTTAATGATACAGTATCTGCATCCCTGTTTACCTTTCCTGTCTTTAGTACTGTTGGAATTTTATATAATTTTCTTTACACCTTCATACCATAAAAATGTTTATTTTATCCTGGTTCTTGGAAAGGCTATGCAGTGGCTTCAGAGTTCTTCACTTTTTGCACATTGTTTGTTAAAGCAATCTCCCCAACCAAGGCCCTTCTTGGTTAGAGAGAGGGGGATACTTTAGATAAGAAATAGTTTTGTAAATGTGAGCTTTTACACACAAACTATATACAATGTCCACTTTAGGTTTTCCTCAGTCATGTTCTGTGAGTTGTTTACGCTTTTAAACTGTAGGCACCTGTAGCCTACATCATGCACCGCACTGTAACTGTATTATTCCAAAATGTTTTTGTTTTTATGAGTGTTTGGTTGCAGATTGCATTTTGTGTGTTTCATGCTGCAGACATTTGTAAATGTAAACACTATTGAGGAGTTACACAGCCACACACACCTGTTTGTATCAGGGCTGGTAATATTTCTGTATTTTGTACTGGTGGTAAGTTACTCATGTTGTGATAATAAAACTAATTTTTGTGCCATTTTACTTTTCCATGCTATGATTTCAGTCTAGGCAAAACCGTGGTTGCTGGATTTTGTCAGTGGTGGATAATAACAAGTGGTCAATTACTGAGGAATAATTATGAGGTGCTTGTACTGAAGTATTAAAAAAAGAAAATTAGCTGCATGTCTTTGGGCAGATCTCTCCCATGTTCAACTAATAGAGGGCCTTACATGAACAAAGCCACAAGAGGGTGCTCTTGCTCCTCCCCACGTTTTGTGTGGACATTTTTTTTAAAGCAGGGGGACACATCACTGCGGAAAGATCACTTAGACATAGAAATTAAGTACGAAAACAGCTCAAAATAACAAAACCAAGAAGACATACTTTTTAATAATTTCATACACAGTGTACAATGTTTTGAGACGTGTTCTTTTTTTGTTATGCCTGAGTTCCCACTTGGCCCATTTGCCCAGGTACCAACATACTGTATCACTGTAAAGCACAGCAGCAACCATAAACTGCAAATTACTCAATCTGTTCTTATCTCAGTGAACTAACATTAGGCCTAAGTGGAAGTTAATGAGATATCCTGATGTTCTAGAATATTAAAATATCTGAGGTTTAATAACACCCAAGCACACATAGAATTATTTTAACTGATTCTGGTTGTTTTTTTACTTTTTAATTCGTTTTGTTGTGCGCAGTATCTGAATTTAGCAACAGGCATCTTTACCAAATTGGTCACTATGGTAATGGCTCTGAGTTTTTAATTAATTTATTTATTTTTCCTACCTAAAAAGTATGTGGAGAAGAATCTCACAAAGCTTAAAGCTCAACGTGCAACGGGTTCTGTATGTATTTTAATTCCATGATACTTTTCTACTGTTGAGCTGTCCTTCTTGTCAGTGGAGCAACTTTGCAGCGAGCCATGGTTTTGTCAGGCAGTGGAGTGTGTGTGTGTGTGCATCCCTGAGCGCTGGGACCAGCTGGCTGTTGCCATGGATACTCTGTGCTGACACCACAAGAACTGTGTAGGCTTGTTGAAGATATAATTAATAACAAAGGATTAGAGGCAAGGGTAGCATGGGGCTCAGTATGAGAAACCTCGTCATCACACAGTTACTATAATTGGCACCCTTTCTCTGTGAGTGTGTGCAAGGACGCCATGAGAAAAGTTACAAAAAATAACAGTTGAAACAGTAATGTCATACTCCTGCTGCTGCATTTGTCTTCTTGACAAGCAATTTGGTCTAAATATGTTTTCTTGGTTGGTGGCCAGAAAGCTGTAGGTAGATCATTTGTGAAAGTAATTTATCTGGACCAGCATTACCGTGGTGGCCGCCTTGATGCTTACATACTGGACATCTCAGGAACCTTTATTAAACATAATTGATATTTATTTAATAAGCTCTACACTTCTGACATGGATGCACAGGACCATTGCTGGTTGTTTACATGGAGTACAAGCTAAAATAAAGCTGTTGGCCACATCAGCAGTGAGGCTCTACTGTATGGGTGGGTGTCGGTTTGTTGGTCCACTACATTGGTCCAGACTGAATTATCTCAACAACAACTGGATGGATTACCAATGAATTCTGTACAGAAGTTCATTTTTCACCAGAAGATGAAGCCAGCTGACTTTGATGACTTCTGACTTTTCCCCAAGCACCACAAAGTTGATAATTTGGCACAACTGCACACAGGTGATCAGAAGCCTGGATACTAGTAGAATCATAGAATCATCTATATGAATAACCAAATTTCTCATGTTTCACATAAACAGCATATCTGTAATAAGATCAAAACCAGGATAAGACCCAAAACTGGGAGACATGTAAATGTGCTTTACTGTCTTCCTCTGCTGAGTTTCTGTTTATGAAGTTTGGGTTTCTGCAGGTGGTGCTCATTTCTTTGTCTGTTCAACCATAAAGTCTGTTGAAACTTGTGATAACAACTTGATAAATCTGATGCACGATGCTGCACTCACCATTTGCTGTGTGACTGAGTTGGTGGAGCACACTCAGTGATACGAGAGGCTCTGCTGACACAAAACTATGGTATGATAATGGCTTGTATTGAGGTCAGCTGATCGTCCAGGGTACACTATATCCACACTAAACCCACAAGAATTAAAACTATGGATTAAGATGCTGTAAGTCTACATATTCATACGAGGAGAGTTTGTCTTCCATTCCTGATGTCTTTGAGCCTGTACACAACTGTTGCTTTGTAAAGATTAAACCATAGACTGTTTTTGTCCATGCTAACACACTTCCTGTTTGAAACAGATGCCCATCGCCCCTGTGGTATGCATTACGTGCTTAATTGCTGTCAGGCTGATGCTATTGCAGGGATCCAAGGAAACCTATCTCTACACCTCCAGAATGAGCTGGCCCTTATTCAATTTAGCCCATTCTCATTTGATTGCACAGTGTGGTTCTCTGAAAGCGACCCCACAGGTCTGGGCATTGACAAGTGTCTCTGCATGAGCTGGATTATTGATGCCACATCGACACGCTGTTTCCTCATTTTGGCTTTTCACAAGAGCACCTGTTAGCCATTATTGACAGGCTCCGTTAAGATACAAGACGGTTAGTAAGCTTCATATCGAACATGCAAACCTAAAAATGGAACAGCTTGAGTGATTTTTCTGAAAATGCTTCTGACAATGTGAAATCAATCAGTGCTCTGCCTGTTGCTTTGAAAGACAAGCAGGCGGTGATCGTGCTGATAGAACGTTACTCCCATTGCCTTTCATGCAAGCTATTAATTTACTGACACATCAGTTTGCAGGGTAAAATGTAAAATGGTGCAGGCTTCCAGGATTTTAGAAGTATCTACCTATTATAAAAGGGGAGCACCCTGCTTTTTGTCACTGCCATCTTCAATATACTATATGTTCCGTGCTGTTTTTATTATGTATTTATGCATCATGCTGACGTCCTGTCCAGCTAGTGTTTAGCATGGAGCTGTGTGGACACTTAAGAGAGTAACCTCTGGTCTGATGACAGAAAAACTCTGCCATAGTAACAGCTGAGTGGCACAAGGCCACACTTCTTCATGGCCAGAGCTGATCACTGTGGCATTTAGTTTGCTCTGCGGGCTTAGCAAGGGGATGCAGAGTGTGGCCCCTGCAGAGGATGAGCCCAGCCAGGCGGTGACATTATCCACTGTAGGAAGCATTGAGCAAGCAGGCATCACCAATTATCTCCACCTCTGCGCTTGTAGCAGGAATCCATTCCAGCACCATTACCTCTGGGCAGCCATGGACTGACAGTCTCTCCCATCAGGGCGATAGTTCTAAATTGGCTCCCACCCCTCTCCTCCTCCTGAGATTGAAAAGCGATTATTAAAGACATTCATCATAGAGGAAGACTGAGCCTGTCTGGAAAGTCTGGAAATCGTGAGAAATGGCAGCACAGTGGAGAGGCCCTGAAGACAGCAGAAAGAATGGGTATGGTGCAGAGATAAAATGATACAGAGAGATGTCTGTGTGCTGAAGGCTTGGTGCTCATCTGCGGTACCAGACAGCATGGTCGCCAGGGTGTCCTGTGAGTAGGCTGGACTGCAATAGCAGGCAGGGTGTGGGGCCCGAGTCTAGAGGAACACATGCGTACAGCAGGCCACCCAGTCATGGCTAAAACTCTATATGCTGAATGTGGCACTAATGATATCCCTAGAGAGCGAAACGGCTCCTGCATGACAAGATGCACCATACAGTTTGACGTCTGATCCAAGTAGGTTTTCTTGGGGAAAGACTACAGGTGGGACAAGGTGAAGGCCCATAATCCATAATAACAAGTTTCCATTTCAAACCGTAGAACACCTTAGAGTTTTTTCACAATCATCAGATATCGATTAGCTTATCATAATCTATTACTCAACGTGCCCATCCATTAGTCTGTGTGTCGTCTGCCATGTGCTTTGCTTGATCAGCGCTCTTCCACATCCACTGACCTGGAAAAACCTGAAAAAGTTTTGCCTGCTCTGCTATCAATAGACAGTCTATTTGAGAACAGTCCCCTCAGGGTAATCGCTGCTCAAATAGCAAAGACACTGACTAGGATTGTATGAAAATTTACTTGAAGCCTCGGCAACTGTCATTTTCACTCTCTTTGCATATTTTATCATAAGAACATATGAGTTTTGTGAGCTTATTTTAAAAATCAGTACTGCTTTTTTTCCAAACTGACCGACAGTAATAGAATGTTTCCATAGTTCTTAAGATTAAATTTTAAGTCAAGGATATCTTTGCCTGACATAGCAGGGAGTTATCCTGGCACTGAAGGAGGCCATCTGTTCAGGCTAGAGTGAAAAGTATTGGAGCTCCTCTAGCCTTGCACAATCATGAGGCAGGATTGGAGTAAAACCCTTTAACATCGAACTGCCCATAGACCTTGGACCATCTGCCAGTTGTAGCAACTGGAGAGTAAACATATCCATGTAGACGGGACTTGAATGGATGGGACAAGCACCGACCCGGTGTCTTTCTGTGTGGAGTCTGCATGTTCTCCGGGTGCTCTGGCTTCCTCCCACAGTCCAAAGACATGCAGCTTAGGTTGACTGGTGACTCTAAATTGCCTGTAGGAGTGTGGGTCTGTGGTTGTTTGTCTACATGTCAGCCATGTGATAGTCTGGCGATCGTGACCCTGTTCAGGATAAGTGGTATAGATAATGACTGTTGCTAACATGTTCACTATTACCGCCTACAGGGTGATAACATGTCAGTGTTGTAAGTTTCCACTGTCTGCAAAAGAATTTAAAAAAAAAATCTCAAATTATTTCAAAGATGGATTTAAAAAAAAATCATATTTTAGTAGTAAAATAATTCCATTTTTCAATTTCTGTCTTCATGAAGAACAAAAGTTGAAGAATTAGGATTGTGTTTTTGCTGATCCACACAGACAAGCTACCACTCAGCTGATCCATGAGTTTAGACGGATGATGTCTGTGAGTCTGCACAGAGGCGCTGCTTCATGCTGACCAGTGAACAGACTTTTATGGGTGTGCTCATTGGCATTCTACCCATCAGTAGCTTGTCCAAACAAACACTCTGAACCAAACAATGCACTCATTTACTGAGCGAGGCCACTCACCAGCATTTATTGCATGACATTCATCATTTACTCGGCTTGAAACATTACTTCGCTGAAATAGCTGTGGGTGCAGAAAGCTTGTTTAAACAACAGCTTTCTTCAGATATAGCAACCGGTTTTTACCCCAGATCTATAGAACAATGTGCAAGCCACAAGATGACAGGGTTGAAGGCTTAACTCACAATTACTAAATCAAAGTGACCACAATGAGTTGCTTTTATAGTGTTGGCATGACATTCATCTCAGTGGTAGATGATAAATGAGTTGTGGCTATCTTATTTTAAAAATGCCATTACTTCACTTACTAGAAAGCATTTTATTTTGCATCCTCGAACAAACGTAACACATTTCTGAACAACTGATTCTGAAAGAGTTCTAATTTTCAGCTTGTCAGTGTTTCTCCCCAAACCCAAAACAAACCTGACAGATCTTCAAAATCCACACCATTTAATAATAAAGGAAAAGATCACATTGACTTAATTTTTTTTGTCTGATTAGAATTCAGCCTTTGCCGTCACCTTAGCAACTGCTTGAAAAAAGGTGGGTGGTGTGGGGGCTGAGAGGCAGGCATGCAAGCCTGTTGGTGTTCATCTAAGTGTAGTGTGTGAGAGTGTGTGAGAGTCTGCGTGTCGCTGCGAAGTTTCATCTCTTTGCACGAGTCCTATAGTAACGAAACATTCTTCACAGGCACACAACCTTCTGTTGTGCGCTTGCTGAAGACGCAAACTCAGTTGGTTAAGCCTTCCCCAGCTTAAAACATTTCTTGTTTGTTTCCTACTGACCCTGCAGATCAAACCATCTCTTTGCAATGATTGTTTCCTTCAATAATGACACAGGTGAACATGCACAACACCTACAGATGGTTAAACCTACTCTCCAGCTGTCGCCAAGTCGTGAAACCTTCTAATGTAGCAGCCACACAGGATCAGGCCTTCACCCTTCTGAGGGGGGGGGGATAAATTCAAGATGGTGCATAATTTATCGCCTTTCAGGAATCAGGCCAACAACAGGCTGGTATATAAAATATACTTTCCCTAACAGCCTGGGACTTGAGATGTAAAATTCAACAGATTTAACCACCTGTTCTCCCCCCCCCCATCTCCTTCTCCCCTGTTTCTCCATCTCTTCTCATATCCCCTCATCTCTCTTTCTGTTTCTCTTTACTGCTTCTCTCTGATCCAGCACCTCAACAGGGATATTGAGTTGCTGCCAGTATCCCTCCGGGGGGGCTTGCCATGTATCTGCAGTCTGGCTGCAATCGAGGTTTCCGCTCTC